CATTGCTGTATGTGACTCGGGGCAGGAGTTTCTTTAAGCTGCTGCTGGTGGGCTGCATGTTCCTCACTTGCTGGATATAAAAGGTGTTGTTACAGGGAGTTTATTGTCTTTAAACAACCTTGTGGGGGTTTTTTTTCTTTCCCTTATCTTCATACAAACCTGTGGTGCATTTTGTTGTTTTTGTCTTTAGTGGCAGGTTGGATAAAGAGGTATGACTTCTGAAGAGAAGATTGATGTTTACTGCCAATAACTTGCCAGTTTCTGCAGCTGAGTGGCACTTACTCATCATGTGGCTTTTGCTGTTTGCATATGAAGACTCAGCAGTATTTTGCCATTGTGGGAGGACAGATGTGGAAACATACACTAAGAAACTTAAGAACTAACTATGAACACTAAGTTTTGGCCAAATTTGTTTGTGTGTTTGTTTTATGTGCATGTTCTATTGCTTCCCTGTCAAGGGAGTGAGATGGGTTTTCTCACATGCAAGTGGCCTCCTTACCCGTAGTCAGTCAGTACGTGTATGCTGTCTGGTCAGTTGATGTATGTATGTCTATGTATGACTGGCTTAGGCACAGCTCAGGTGCCCCTGTGTTGTTTCTGATGCTTATTTCAAGCTCTACAATTAAACTTTTCTCTAAGTCCTTGTGTAGAAAGTCATTCATAAATATATATATATTTGAAAATGTGGGTGACAGCATTTCTCTTCAGTTTCCTAATAACTTTTGAACTGCTGTGGGATTTAGTGCCTTTTTCAAAAAGAGAAAGCAGACTCATGGTGGGTCCTTACAAATGGAAGCATTGTGTGACACTAGTTTAAAAGAAAAATAGAAACCTTTATAAACCCTGTATACTTATAGCAAGAAAGCTGTTTTATTATGAGTTTAATAATTGTTCTCCTCATTTTCTGATGTGGATTTCTTTCAAGTCTGTAAGTATTTATAATGAATACTGGAAGTTAAACATTAAATTAAAAACTCTGGTTTTAGTTGTTCTCCTTTATTACCACAAGAGGGCAACGCTGCACTTCTCAGGATTTTGAAAAACAAGAAGCAAAAGACTTGCTCTGTCATCTCATGGATGGTTTGTTTCCTAAAGTTTCTGTACTATCTAGGTGGGTCTGTTACAGCACAGTAGCATTTGCCGCATGCCCAAAGCTCTGTCACTTTTCTTCTGTGTTCAGCAATGTCTGTAATCCCTTTCCCCAACGTGAAGCTGCCTTTGATTATTTAGAGCTACCTAAACTGCGGTGTTACAACTAGGCTTTCAAACTAGCAGCCTCGAGCCACTGCTTTGATAGATGAGGGATGTTTGTTGCAGCCTGATCAACGCTGAGAATCTAGCTCCTGTTTTCCCCAGAGAGCATTATGCTTGGCCTCAGTACCTTACTGTCCCCATTTCCGACTTAGTGTAGGCTATAGAGGCTTTTTTTTTTTTTAAACTAAGTATTTCTTCTTTTTCCTCCTCCTGTAGTGTCTCACGCTGTCTTAGGAGCCCCATCCTGAGACAATGAGTTTCCTGGCTTAGCCTTCAGAATTAAGTTGAGAAGGGAGACTTTTCAATGTTAATATAATGGTGTTTGAGCTAAAAGGCTCTGTTCTTGGCAGATGAATACCTTCAGTTTCCTTTGATTGCTGGCAGTTGCTCTCTTCAGTGTATTAATTGGTTATAGCGAATTTTAAGTCTAATGAAAACGCACTGAAATATAATAAAACATACTAAACATTAATTTGAAATGTGAATTTCAATCCAACGTCTGTCCCAGGGGGTGTCCTACAAAGACACTTAAGCAGCACTTAATGCTTGGTTGGTCACTTGGGGTATTTCAGACTTAATACATTCTTCTTTTCACTCTCTGTCATGCCGCTCCCCCAAAAGCGTAAGGGGAGGGAATAACCATCAGTCTGTTTTCATTCAAGCCCCTGCTGTATGAAAGAGCTAGCACGCTCACCAAACAGGAGTCCGTCCCTGCATTAATATGAAGACTTTCATTTAAAACCATTGAAATAACCTAGTGAAACTAATCACAGTTCCTGGGTCACCCATTGATGTTTCGATGCTGTTAAACCTGGAGGAATTCCCAGTGCGAAGCAGTCATACTGCTGTGCTGCCCATCCTCGCTAGGCAGCCCAAGGCAAGCCTGTTCCGCTCTGCTCCGGGTGCTGCCACCAGTCAAGGCACTCTGCGTTTGAGTAAAAGACTACCACCCTGTCTGAACACCCACACTGCCCGTCATCCAGCTCTTGGTCCTGCAAAGACAGTGAGCTTGCTTGTGGCTCTCCGCCTGGCAGCTTTTCTGGAAGGTGGGAGTAAAGGTCTGAACCATCTCAGATCAAGTGGACCTTGTATTTAAGAGGTGATTCTCGAAATTCAGAATTACCATAGAAGAAAATACTGCTCTTCTCTCTCTCCATCCTTTAAGTAAAAACCAGGTATGTCTGTGCTTCTTAAGAGTCCTCATTTCGAATGTCACATTTATTCTTACAGCTAAGAAACACGTCAGAGGATTTGGAGGTGCGTAGTTCTATATTACAAATCACTGATTAAAAACAGCTTTATCAAAGATGTTTGTATACCATAGCCATCTAACTGTTCAGACAGCCAGTCTGAACTGAATCTGGGAAATTATTTGGGTAAATAAAAACACCTCTTGTTGGTTTAAGTTTTTCTGACAACATTAATTTCAGTTGAGAATGAAAGCAGAAAATACTGCAGTTCAGTAGTGTACGGCTGATAGCTACCTGAAGCGTATCATTAAGTGGTAAGGCTGGGAGCTACGCAGATTAGAGCTGCTCTAACCTTGTAGAAATAGACGCCTCCCCTCTCTTTCTTACCAATTAGTGCTGCACTAAGTAACTATGAAACATAATAGGAATTTTGTCATTATTTTCCTCAATCCTAGATGTTTACTTCACCTTAGAGGCTGTTAAAATACATCTGTTCATGTAGATTATCTAGAGTGTTGACATTTTGTTTGCTTTACAGCAGTGTGACTATACCTTTTTTCTCCACCTTCTGAAAGCATTTTCTTGCAGATCCCTCAAAAAACTCCTGGCAGTCAAAGATGAATGCTCGTAAGCTGAAAGGGCTGATTCTCAGCGACTGCAATAGCATAATCTTTGTTGCAGTAACAGAAAATGAAGCCATCTGCTACCGCATATTGTTAAAATACACAGATTATGCCAGTGTTTGGGGCAGAACTCCCTGAGGTTTGGGAGGACGCAGAAACTGTGTCTCCATAAGGGTGGGTAGCACCACTGTGGGCCCTTAGGAAAACAGATGACTTCAGCATGCGGATTTGGCACAGTGACAGACTAAATCGCTGGGACACAGCTCATCAGGCACAAGCGGTGCCAGCAGCTGGACTGGGATGGAAAAACCTCTCCAGCTCCATAAACGTTCTCGTGATCCCACGTGTCTGTTTCACCTTACTTTAGATCCCTAACATACCACAGGCTAAGAAGGTAGGAGACACAGAGCAAAGAAAAAGCACTCTACCTCCTTCCCTGTCAGGTACTGCGTATCAGCAGCCAACGAGGCAGTACAAAACATAAGCCCAAAAAGAACCAAACCCTTGGAAACGTCTCTAGCAGATGCTTCTGTAACACTGTGGTGTGGCAAACAGCTCATCTCCCTGATCTAAAATCACATATAATGAATTCGGTGTTGGGTCTGAAGTTACAAGAAACTTGCTGTACCTTCCCACACACATACATTGACACCTCCTTATTTCACTCTTCCCCACCAACAGCCCTTGAACTAGTTTCCATAGATTTTACATATCCTCTCTAAATTGATGTTGGAAAAAAGGTGTTAATCCAAAGGAAGGAGCAATTATCACTATAATAAAGATGAGAAAAAAAACACATCCTCAGTCAGTTATGTAAATAATCCTGCTTAGAAAAAAACTCCAGGTAATATATGAACAGCAAGGTGACAGAAGGTACCTCCTGTAATGAGCAATAACATGTTACAGTTACATTTCCAAACTAATTCTGAATTGCTTCTGGTATGGTGATGCTTATTTGACATTATACAATTGTGCTGGTTTTGGCTGGGATAGAGTTAATTTTCTTCACAGCAGCTGGTATGGGGCTGTGTTTTGGGTTTGTGCTCAAAACAGTGCTGATAATAAAGGGATGTTTTGGTTATTGCTGAGCAGTGCTGACACAGAGTCAAGGCCTTTTCTGCTCCTCACCCCACCCCACCAGCGAGCAGGCTGGGGGTGCACAAGAAGTTGGGAGGGGACACAGCTGGGACAGCTGATCCCAACTGACCAAAGGGATGTTCCACACCATATGACATCATGCTCAGCATACAAATCTGAGGAAG